GCGAGGAAGCTGTGTGGCTGACCTACACGCTGCTCGCACTGTTTATCCCCTCTCAGCATCTTCCAGATGTGTGTTAATCTGTTCCATGTATGAGGCAGGAGACAGCCTTCCCTTCACCTCCCCACCTGGCACTGGCTGGTGATGGTAGCCTCGCCTGGGCTGTCCCTGTCTGTGGCAGAGACCTGCTTTGCCATGGTGCCCTCAGAGGTTCTGAGGACACAATTCCCTGGTGCTGTAGCCTTGCCAAGCCTAGCCGACGGCAGTGCTTGAGGTGCTAAGAGGCACAAGGAGGCTCAACTGGGTCCCATCATCAGCCTAAGGCAGGCCTGAGAAATCTCGGCAGAAGATCCCCAAACACACCCTGATCTCCTTAGCTAATTAACAGGGAATACAACCCTCAGGAAAATTATTCTGCACAAACCCCATGAGGCCCAAAAGGCACGCTTTAACATACCAGGGCAGAGACACCTCTTTTGGGGGTGAGTGGGTACTATCCCTAGTCGATCAGACCTGCCCATTTTCCACCCTGCCATTCCCCACCACCACCCAAAGAAACCCAGATCCCTAAACCCACAGTCTCAGATGGCTGGAGTTCACTTCACAGTTACACCCGCCTGCGCTCAGCAAAGTGGATCTCTAAAGGGAGCCGAGGGGCCATTTTGAAGGCCGCCGTTCCGCCTGACAAGTCATTCTCTCTTTCCTGCCGTGGAGTCTCTCTTTCCGAGAGATGCTATCGGTTCCTCGCCTTGATGTTTGCTGACGATGCTGTGGGAATCGTAACGAGGCAGCGCCAGAGGAGAACGGGCTACTCCAGCTGCTTTTGTGGCCTACAAAGGAAGCACGGAAGTCTGTAGTGCCTTGTTTTCAAGAAAAGGCTTGTCCAAGCCCTGTCTCTTGGATTTCAATTGCGTACTTGGGGGTGGGGGTCAGAATGGCTGTATGTTAAGACTCCGTCATATTCTCTTTCCCAACACAGCAATCAGGCTGGAAAGAGACAGATAAGGCATCGAGTCCAGGCACTTGCAGTAGCTTGAAGCAAGCCACCTTGAGCTGAGGGAGAGAACACAGAAGCTGGCTGCTTGATTTCTAAAACTTAAGAGGACTGGAAGGTTGTTTTGCCAAGTAGGGATGGGAGAGAAATTTGATTTAGTTCATATTTTAAGACAAACCTACCAAATCTGCACTTTCTTAAACAATGCAAGAACAATGCAGTTCTCCAGCCAGCAGGCCCATGCAGGGTGGGGGGCACTGGGCCTCAGAGGGCTAAGCCGGCTGGGGCAGGGCTCATTGGGGACCTGCTGCTTTTTTGTTTGAGATCATAACTTTATTCTAACAAGATTCCCTGCCAGCCAGTGCAATTCTCCAATCAAATAATGTGCACACAAAAAATGCATATATTAGGGTAAAATGTGCACAGGGTAAAAAGTACCCCCCAAATGCATTATATTAGGAGAAATTGCTTCGCAAGAATGTGTGCATTAGGCATAGGAAAATGTATACTGTATATTAGGACTTAATTAGCACTGAAATGCTGATGAATTTTCATGAGGACTTCAGAAAATTGGAAACTGATGCGGAAATGTGGAGATTCAAGCAAGATCTACTCGTCCCTGCATTTTGTGCACCTCTTTCACTTGCAGCACAACAAGGATGACGCACCAAGGCATGCAGGGAAGAGACGCCATCTCCTCCAGGCTGCTGCATTCACCATAACTGAGCACCCAGGCACACCGATTTGGAAGGGCTGTACCATGGCTCAGTAAGGGCAGTGGTGGCTGTTGACTATTGGGCCTGACAGGGCAGAAGGCAGGGAGACCAAACAGCAGATGGAGCCACAGCCCATGAGAGGCAGAGGCAAAGCAGGTCATGGAGCAAAGGCAACTCCTTCTAGTTCTGTCTCCATCCTCCTCCTTGCTGAGTTCTACAAGGGCAACACTAAGGAAGAAGAAGCTAACAGGCAAGTCCACATCCTGGACTGTTCGGCATGTAGGTGGGAGCAGGCAGATCCAGCCAAATGACGGCAGGCGGAGGTTGGCGGGGCTGAGCCCCATTTGCCCTAATAGGCCAACCCTAGTGAAATGAGGAAGATGGTTGCATCCCCTCCCTCCGATTCTGGGCCCGATTTCTTGTTCCAATCTCATATGCAGCCCTGGAAGCCATTTTTGTATAATGCAAATGACTAAGCCTTTCCTGTTTGCGTGACAACTCAATAACACCCCTCCTCCCCTCTTTCTTTCTCTCTCTCTGTATAGTTTGATGCAACTACAGAGGCACATATCTAGAATAAATGCCTCACGCAAAATCAATCCAATTACATCTGCAAACAAGACAAGCCGTTTACAGTAATTTGGTTACTCTGCCCCCCAACACCTGAAATGTGGCAGCCCCAGTAGAGTAAATGCTTATTAAAACACCCACCCTTTGGTCTAGGCTTCGGTGAGAAGGTGTAGGAGGAACAGGAGCAGCGGGGTTGTGGGTGGGGAGGTAAGGAGAGGAGGATAAAGCAGCCAGGAGCTTCGCCTCCACTGTGCACGCAACAAGATGTGAAACACAGGTGGGAGGGCTGATGCTTCCAGACTGCAGATTCTGCCAGGGTTTAGTAGGATTCTGCCACTCCACAGCTAGCTCAAACATCGAATAAAGTGTTGTGGTGCAGGAAGGGCCCCCAGGTGGAAAGTGGGGCTCCACCCCTTTCCACCAAGCATCTCACAGACAAGGGGTGACATCATCCTCCCTGGCAGAGGAGACATAGCTCATATGCTATCAGTGACAAGGTTTCCCACAGTAACCGAAATGTAGTGGATCAGAAACAATGCTGATTACATCAAGCACAGGGCAGGTCAGAAATTGCTGCCTCCTTGCATCCCTAAAGGTCGTGCAGCAATCTCTTTCTCCACAGAATTTCCCAGGAAGGGATTGCACATTATGATGTACACTTGCTTCCTCAGGGTGTGTTTAAAAACCTTTTTTTAAAAAATCATATGGTTACAGAGCTTTTCTAAGCAGCTTAAAAAGTTTAAGAAAGAAAGAGGAAGCTCTCGGACTATCTTGTAAGTTCAGTACTGACCCACTTATTGTTCATTTCATTGATTAAGCGGCTTAAGCTGCAGGTGTACTTTCCAATCTGTGCATGGGTCTAGGGGTGGGACCATGCTGCAAAATGCAGAGTGAACAAGAATCCTCCCCAGCCCTCATTTTTGGCTTTCACAGTTCCCAAATATTCCAATGCGGTTCTCAGCACAAAAAGTGTGTATTTTAGAAGTGTGTGTTTTCAAGGAGAAAATATATTTTAGCAATGTGTATTTTGAGAGAGCATACGTTTTAAATACCTTTTGAAATGCCGGTCTATGTGTTTATGTGTTGCTGTTTTCCCCCATTGCAGAGTCATGTGGTAACAGGATGGAATAGGCTTCAGGGAAAACACATTTTCATAGGAACAAAAACTGGAAATAGACTGGTTTGTCTGCCCTCACATAAAAAAAAAAAACTTGCTGCAAAGAAAAATATTAAAACAAATTCATCTGCTAGGTTTATGCCTGTTATAGAGGTGCTCTGCAAAGTGGGCTGGGCTGGCTGGGTGTGTGGGTAACACATCTCACTCTCCCAGGTGTGGCGGTGCTGCTGCCGCCTCTGGACTGAGCTCTGCCCAGGAGGTAAATGGGTCTCCATTTTGTTCTATGCGCAGGGAATTCTTGTTTGCACGGAGGAGCATTCTATGAGTGAAGTGGTGCAGCCCACACACAGAGCTTTACTGCCTCAACGAGAACTAGGCAATGGGCTCTTTAAACCTTAGCACACACCAGAAAAATGTCTGGCTATGTGCCTGCATACCTCTGCAATTCTGGGAGTGTGTGGAGTGGGCAGGGGGCAGTCATCTAAGAGTGTAAGAAATGCCCACAGACCCATCCAGCCCAGCACCTGCAGTTCTGTGCCAAGATCTCTTGGCCATGAACCGCTCTGCTCTTCCACTAGAATGGAAATTCTCCTGGAATGGAGTGATACAGAGGGCCACACAATCCAAGGCTCCTGCCTCTTCCCTGCTGGTGAAGGAAGGTGCCCTAACCTTAAGGGCATAACAAGAGCCCTGCTGGATTAAGCCAGTGGTCCATCTAATCTAGCATCTTGTTCTCACAGTGCCCAACTAAGATACCCATAGCAAGCAGGACAGAGGTGCAACAGCACACTCTCCACTTGTGATTCCCAGCAGCTTGTGTTCAGATGCGTACTGCCTCCAGCAGTGGAGGTACAGCATAATGAAGGTGGTCCCTATCTGACATCTGCAGATGTTTGTAGCTGCAAGGTCGGGTCTGAAATCTTGGAGAAGGAACCTAGCCCAGCATAGGATGGTTGGAGATTAGCAACCAGCAGAGCAGTGGCAGTGATGAGAGGTATAGAAAAGTCAGGGTTTAGCTGAAGTCAAATGATAGGGAAGCTCTATAAGAACATAAAAACAGTTGGGGGCTGGAAGAGCCCAGGGCAAAGCTAGGCATTATGCGGTAGCGGGCTAAAAGTGATTCAAAGCAACTGGTATTCAGAGGCATTTCTCCACTCTTAAAAGGCAGAAGAGCAGGCCAAGGTGGTTTCCTCTGGGTCAGATGGCAACCATAATTCCTTTTGTCTTAAAAACAACAAAAAGCAGGAGCTTAGGAAGCTCCCAATAAGGCCTGGCCCTTATCTAATCCATCTGCCTGGCTCCTGGAGAGGTCCATCCCCTCCTGTTTCTTTCATGCTCTTCTTTTACTTTATCTATCAGATATGCTCTAAATCTAATCTGGAGATAGCGTAGGAAGGATTCTTTGAGTCTTGTGCTGCATTATAGGGCGATGCCTTTGCAGATTCCACACTGAGAAGCCAGAGAGGGTAGGTCTGCCTTGCTGACAGCTCAATGCCTAGAAAGATAGGAAGCCGACTTATACCGAGTCAGACCACTGATCAATCTAGCTCAGCACCATCCACTCTGACTGGCAGCAACTCTGGAGGTTTGCAGATGGAGAGTTTACCCCAGACACCAGGAAGTGAACCTGGGACCTTCTGCACACAAGGCAAATGCTTTCCCTTTGAGCTACAGTCCTTCCCCCATGTGGAGGAATGCCAATCTGGCACATGTCGGGCGAATGCCGGACACAAGTGTGTCCATGTAACTTCTGGAACTGCAACACATGAACACACCTTGCTGGGTCGCATGCTGTTTCCTGCAGGTGCCAGCTGGACTGGGGTGGGACTAACACCTGCTGTGCCCATGGAAGATCCTAGGTGGAGTTTATCCTAACGTGCATCTGGACACACTTTGTGTGGTGGAACCTTTTTCCTTTCTTTTCTTTTTTAGATTTGGAACATAGGGGTTTTCAGTAAGGTGCTAGGTCTTGCTCTGCTTCTCATTCCTTCTAAAAGTAGCAGTTGTTCCACGGCACTGCTGCCTGATGCCAGTTGAGACTGGCAGGACGTAAGGCTGGAGGCCAGCAGTAGGTGGAGCCAGAGCCTATGACAGGCACAACCACAGTAAATCACAGGCAGGAGGAACTCATTCTAGTTTTGTCCTCCATGTCCCTCATGGTTGCTCTGTACAAAGGAAACATAGACCCTAAGGAGGAGGAAGCTGGCAGCCAGTGCCACCCCTTGGGCTGCTTGTAATATGAAGGCCAGCAGGTGGAGGGTAGCTGAGGGCAGACTGAGGTTGGTGGCTCTGTTTCCCAAATGGGACAGCCTCCACCGTCCAGGAGAGCAGACTGTGCTTGCAAAGTGGAAGGGCTGTATCAGCTGTTTGTGCATGGTTGGGGGGGGGGGTTTAGAATAAATCACCGTGATGGGTGAGAGGCAGAAACAATTCCTGAGCTTGGGAAGGAGAAACTTGCAAATCACACTGTGCTTCCACCAGTTGAACATCTGGTTTGTCGCGCCATTTGATGCCACCCGGATACTAAATATTTTTATCCTACTAACTGGCGGGAGTCTAATGGGGAGGGAGGCTGGGACGGGGCTAGATTAATGGGAGGGCACTCCCAGCTGGAGCGCTCCTGCAGCGAACAGTGTTAGCTGGCAACGTAAGTGAGATTGATAGCCCTGGAAGGAGCCTGGAAGTACATTTGGCTTTGTGATTCAGAACTGCTCGGACAGAGACCTATGGAGAATTAACTAGCGGAAGGCAAAGGGGAGGGGGGAAGAGTGCTAAGTGCCATCCCAAGCCTCTGCATAAGAACATGAGAACAACCTAGCTGATGGGTCGACCCAAAGGCCCATCTAGCCCTGAAGTCTGTTCTCACAGTGGCCAAACAGATGCCTGCAAGAAACTGTAAGAAACTAAGCGCAACAGCATCCCACCCCCCTACTTGTGATTCTCAGCAGCTGGTATTCAGAGGCAATACTGGCTCTGAAAGTGGAGGGACAACATGGCCATTGTGACTAGTGGCCATACAAAGCATTATCATCTATGAATTTGTCTAATCCTATAAGAACATAAGAAGTGTCCTTCTGGGTCAGGCCAATGGCCCATCTAGTCCAGCATCCTGTTCCCACAGTGGCCAACCCAATGTCTCTGGGAAGCCCACAAGCAGGATTTGAGTGTAACAGCAACTCTCCCCAATTGTGATTCACAGCAATGGATATACCAAGGCACATCACCTCCAACAGTGGAGACAGAGAATGGCAAAGGTGGCCTCTGTCTAGCATCGACAGCTGTTTGTGGCTGTAAGGTCAGGGCTGAAATCTGGGAGGAAGAACATAGCCCTGCATGGGATTACTGGAGGTTAACTGGCACTGCAAGGACAAGAGGTAAAGAGGAGTCAGGGATGACCAGAAGTCCAGTGATAAGGAAGTTCTTTAAAAACAGTTGGGGACAGTGAGGCAAGAGCCACAGAGTGGCTAGTTAAATCAGATTGCTGAATAAAGCAGGTTGTCTGAAGGCATTACTCCTGATTTGTTTGCACGAAGTTTGCGGGGAGGTTAAAGTGAGGTCAGCAATTTATTAAGCATTTCTTTTTATTTGTTTGTGGGGAGGTTAGATGCTGCTGCATCAGCCAATTGTTAGACAACACATGCCAGGGCATTTCCCCATCTCTTTCTTTATCTTATTTAGTGCAATTTAGGGTTCAGTAGAAAGAACAGGAGGGTCCCCAAATACAACAAGACTGCAGGCTCACTGCATTTTGAAGTAAGTGAAGTAATACACACATTACCATATAAAAGAGGAAGGGGTGCTCAAGACCATTAAGTCCAGATTCTTAAAAATTACCTATCTACACCACTGTCGGTCCCAGCATCATTTCCCATGCAGTTGGAAAAGCAGATTGGGGGAGTGAGCGCAATTTTTAGTGGCAAGATGGCAGGGAGGGAAAGGATTAAGCAGTCCCTCTCTAATTCTGCTCCTCTGCTTCCAAAGGCAGCCTCCAAGACTGCTTTTCATGTTTTTTAAAAAATGCCAGGAGACTCGTCCTTGCATCAACATCTAATATGCCCATCAATCCAGGGGAAGGAATGGAAAGGAATGAGAAGCAGGAAACAGATGGAAGAAGAAGGGACTGAAACATAGGAAATTGGCTTATATTGATTCAGGTAGGTAGCCGTGTTGGTCTGACGCAGTCGAAACATATAAAAATTTTTTTTTAATGTCCAGTAGCACCTTAGAAACCAACTAAGTTTGTTCTTGTTATAAGCTTTTGTGTGCATGCACACCTCTTCAGATACACTGAAACAGAAGTCACCAGACCCTTATATATAGTGGGAGGGTGGGGTTTTTCTCAGGAGTGTGTGTGTGTGTGTGTGTGTGTGTGTGTGTTTCAACTGCCTTATACTGAATCAGACCACTGGGCCATTCAGCTCAGCACTGACTGGCAGGAGTCTCTCCCAGTCCAACCCAGAGATGCCAAGAATTGAGCCTGGGACCTTCTGCGTGCAAAGCAGGGGCCCTATCCTGTTGCTCAGCTACAGCACTGGCATAGGTTCACAAAGGCCAACAGGAACAAAGTGAGGATGGCTACATGCAGGCACAAGGGCAACCTCTTGCTCAGTGTCAAACCACATATGTGACACTCACCTGGAGAGCACCAGGTCGGGGAAGGCTGCTGCAAGGTAAGAAAGCTAGGAAGGGTGGTGGGAAAGAGGTCTAGAAACTTGGTGGTCTTACTTGCATGGCAGGATTAGCTAATCGATTTAGAAGGGATGGGGATTGCAATTTAATAAAGTTTCCGTCTTCAGCTCAGTGTTGTTTCTAAGTGCTTCCATCTGACAATCCTGGGACCCACTTGCCTGGCAGCTCCCTGTTCTATTATCCCCCGTTTGAATTTCCCTTTGCCGGATGCCAAGTGGTTGGGGGGTGGGAGGGTGAGGGCAATATAAACTGCTCAGAGAAAGGGAGCAATTAATCTTATTCAGGAGCATCGCAGCCACATGAGCCCTGCCACCCAAATTAAATTTTAACTTGTCTCATAAATCTTCCCTTTAAACTCTCCTTCTCATGACCAGCTGCACTGGCAGACGGGCTGGAAATGTCCTTGAAACTCGGGGGACCAGCAGATTCGAAATAGAGCTTGGCTCCCTGGTCCTCCCAGCCCCTCCCACCCCCCACATGCCCTGATTCAAGGCAGCAGGCTGTGGGGCGAGCAGAACAGTGCGGCTGCTACAGGGACGGCATTAACGTGTTGGAGAATCTGGGGACGGCAACCTTGCTGTAATCGTTAAAAGAACCACCAGCCCTTTTTGGCAGAGCTTAAGATTCCTGCTCCTGGTGCCCTGGATTTTATCCAGCTCAAGTAATTAAAATCCTGGCTCCTTTCAGCTCCGCTGCTCATTGCAAATGCATGCATCCAGCGCTCAGGTGTAAACACACTGCCAATGTGCCCCTGCTCCAGAGGCACACATCCTCTTAGCAAGTCAGGAGTTTAAAACTTTCACTCCACCCCAGAGGCGGCTGCATCTAAGGGCAGTGGTGGGGTGGGTGGGTGTTCAAACACAGGGCCCTTGTACACACAACACACACACTCACACACTACTGTTGCTCTAAAATCAGGCTCAATCCCTGAAACAAGAATTGCTGTCTAAGCAGCTGCTGTAGTCCAAGAGTGATCTGTCTGTGCAGACCACTCGTGTCACATCTGTGTCCCTCCCTTCCTCCAAGTTGCTCAGGGTGGTGCATACAAGATGCGCTATCTCCACAACAAGCTAGTCAAATAAGTTAGCATAAGCTGCTGGTGTGTATCAAACTGGAGTTCCCAGCAGCCAGGCTCCTTCCCATCTGCTCTACCAGTGCCATGTTTCATCTGCAAGGCCAGCAGACTGAATTCTGGGCTGTTGAGGGCACCACCAAAGCTGCAGTACCAACCTGCAGATCATTGAGCCTCCCAAGGGGCGCACCAGCCCATGGCTCAATGGTAGAGCACTGGCTTTGCATGCAAAAGGTCTCCAAGTTCAATCCCCAGCATCTCCAGGAAGGGCTGGGAAAGTCCCCTGTCTGAAATCCTGGAAAACTGCTGTCAGTCAATTTAGACAGTGCTGAACTAGATGGACCAGTGGTCTGATTCAGTCTAAGTCAGCTTCCTATGTGTATTAAGCAAGGGGAGGGGCTGTAGCTCAGTGGTAGAACATCTGCTCTGCGTGCAGAAGGTCCCACTTTCAATCCTCCAGGCAAGGCTGGGAGTCTCCCCTTCCTGAGACCCAGGAGAGCCACTAGCAGTAAATGTGGACAATACTGAACTAGACGGGCCAATGGTCTGATTCAGCATAAAGGCAGCTTTCTATGTCCCTATAAAGCCCGAGCTGGAGAAGTAAGTTGTCTGCGTAAGTTGTCCCTGGCATGAGGAAATGGCTTCAGCTCCCACTTCCTTGCATTTTGTGTGTGTTGTTTTCACTAATATATGCATTTTTAACACAGTGCTTGGCTGGAGAACAGCATATCTCGGCCATGTTTCAGTTCTCTTATTGATTCAGAAGGTACAAATTACGTGGATTCACTTTTACCTGCGAAACAACTCAAATTTCCTCCCCATCCCTAGCAGAAGCCTCTGGATTTTGCACGGCTTGCTGTACAAAGGCAGGGCAGCACACGGCTGCTCCTTCCTCCATTATTGCCTCTGGGCATGCCTGCTGCTGGCATGTGGCCCCCAGGGAAGGCTGCCCAGGTGGGAATGTGGCCCTCAGGCAGAAAAATGTTCCCTACTCCTGCAGTCATAGATCGCGCAGTCAGCAATGGTGTGCTTGCGTTGTGATGGACTCCAGCCCTTTGAAATTAAAAGTCGCACTACCCATGGTACTAGGAAGCTGGCTAAAGCCAGGAGTCTCATTGACACTCCCCTGCCTTCCGAGTTGGCATGTCAAGGCTCGCAGACTAAGCACAAAGTCATCGGGGAGCAAGTTGTAACAGAGCAGATGAGGAGGGTGAGGCCAAGTAGGCCTGGGGCAGGTGGACAAGGAGGGCAGGTAGCCAGCCAGCTGTACAATCTGTGCTTCAATGAGACAACGTGCTCAGACTGGAGAGTCCCTCCATTCAAAGGCCAGTGAGGATTGTGGCCTGCAGAAAGGGAGGGCGGCGGCTAGGAAGCGGCTGTGGTGTGGGAAGAGTGGTTGCGGCAGGGGAAGGGTTGTTTGTTTGCTTATTTAAATATTAAATATTTTCAGACCACATTTTTCCTAAAAATGCAGTATTCAGTGGTACCTTGGTTTACAACCGTTTTGGTTTACAACTGGACCTCCGGAACAGATTATGGTTGTAAACCAAGGTACCACTGTACAACATACAAAATAACAGCAACTTTGTTAAGTCGTCAATAAAAGCTTCAGTAAGAGCTAGTTGGGCAAAAATAAAATCTGCATTTCAAAGGCGACACCATTTTCAATAGGTGTCTGAAAGTAGTCAGGGATGATTCCTGCCAAGGGAGTTCCAAAGGACAGGGCCAGCCACGCTAAAGGATTGGACCCTGCTGAAGGCTAACTAAACCCCAGGGGCGTAGGGAACCACCAGAAATGCCTCATCAGAGGGTCTCAGTGATCAAGTTGGCACATAAGGAATAAAGAGGTCTTTAATGTACTTTGGGGCCAAATTGTTTAGGGCTTTGTGGATTAACCCAAGAACCTTGAACCTGGCCTGAGAGCAAATAGGCAACTCTCTTAGCAGAAGAGCAACATATTGCCAGTAACCTGCAGCATTAGCTCCAGCTTCCGAATTGCATACAAGGGCAGTTCCACATAAAGCATGCTACAGTAATCCAGTCCTGAGGTTACCAATGCACAGACCACTATTTTGCACATAAAGAGTCCCAGGGGTCAGTAAGAGAGCCTTAAAGCATTGCATTTGGTCCCTGGGCTTGAGGTTCTGCATCTGTTCAAGCCTAACCTTTTATCCCTGATGTGTCAGCCTTCTACATGAGAAATTTTTAAAAAGCAAACCCCCATCCGCCACCTGCACTACAATGTCATAGAATCCCATGTTTTGGTTGAAGGCGTAGACAGTCACCTGAGCCACAACCCTGGTATCAGGATTGTGGGTCGGGTAATGGAGGCAGCAGGATCACGAGTCGTTCACGCCAGAGACATTTCATTTGAAATAAAACTAAGTAGGAGGCATCTGGGGCTTGCCCAGGAGCACCGAGTAACATTCAGAACCAACAGATGGCAAAAGGCAAGGGGGCTAAAAGGGAAAGTGAGAAACAGGGGCGGAGGAAGAAAGATGTGATCTGCTCTACGAAAATGTTTACAGTGGTTCCCAGGCAGCACATGAAAGGGTGTGGAGACAGAGGCCCCGTGGAGGTCGCCAAGGTTGTGACCAGGCCGACAGCTTAGAACCGGATCAGGAGGAAAGGACCCAGAGGGCTCCAGCTGTGACTCTGTCTGTTCCAATTGTGTCTCCTTCTTGCTGTAATATGTAGCCTAAAAGCAGAGGAAGGGAAGGGAGGAGGAGGATTGGCTTCTGCTGCCTCTGTAACACACATTTTTCAAGATATTTGACGACCTAGGTTGTGGGTAGAGATGTTCAGGCCCTGCAGATGTTGCTGAACACCTATCATCCCTGACTATTGGCCATGCTGGGCGCTTCTGATAGGAGTTGGAGTACCAACAACTGGAAGGCAACAACCCCCCAAACAAAAAAATCATAAGATCAAGACTATGAACTAGGGAGTTCTTTCTCTCCTCCCTTACTTCTCCGGTTGAATATATACAAGCAACAGAACTAAGGTCCTGACGTGGCAAAGTGGACTTTAAGAACACCAATCAAAGCACGCATCAAACAGTTATCATTTTCTAACAAAGTATTTTATACGTATGCATTTTGGATAACATCCTCCTGAAAATATGTCAGCATTTTGTGCCAATTTCTCCTAAAATACACATTTTGTGTTTGCTGATTGACTAGTAATTTCCTTTAACATTATGCATTTTTCTATGTCATCTTCACGAATGTATGCATTTTTACACACACTTTCCCCTATTTGTGTACACTAGTTGGAGAGCTGCATTGCACTATTCAGTAAAGTGTAATTTTTGAAAGATACTTGTGTTCTGGTTCATGTATTGCTTCAAGAAGTGTGAATTAGGTCATTTCCCCCCTTAAAATGCAAACAAAATCAAATTCTTCCCCCGCTCCAGGGAGATAACTTTTTTGACCGCTCCCCCACAATTAAAAGAAAAACATTTCCTGCGAAGAGGAAAAAGGACTTTAAGGAAAATAGCCTAGCACTCTCCCGTTGTGGAACTTTTCTGTCTGTGAAAAGTCCCCCCCCCCAATACAGTAAAAAATGTAAAAACCCTGCACCTGAATTCTGTATTGGTACCATCCATTTGTCCAGCTCAGAATTCTACATTTTCCTCCAGCTGCACACATTAAGCCCAGCCTTTAGTTTTTGTTAGTTATTTAACAGTGATTGGTAGCCGTGAACAGAGAATTACTTGCAACCTTTCAGACCTGGGACCTTGGTTGGTGGATGCAGTGCTGGGGTTTATAGGGGGTGGGATCCTCCTCCTGTTCAGACATATTTTCAAGCTCTGGTAGAGGCATGGTAGCAGCAACATTTAGTTTTTTAATGGGTTTTTAAAAAACCAATACTTGTATTTCAAATTACTATTACCTGCTTTGATCCTAAAGTGGTAGGGGAGGTTATAAATGAAATCAGCTGGTCAATAAAAATATGGACAACAGCATCCAGAAATTATAGTGTAAGGCCAACAACAGCTGCTCCCTGAATCTCAAGGGACAGAGCTTTGCATCATCCAATCCACTTCATTAGAAAGAAAAAAGAGAGAAATAATTTTAAATGAATATGCATACTTAATTAAGTGCTCTCTCCCTCTTTTTTGTTAAATGAAAGGGGCACAATCTGGTTCAGTAGTACAAACTCCACTGAAATGAATGCACGTGCACCTGCATAACTCCCATTCATTTCAATGGGGCTCAGGAAGAAGTCTCTTAAGTTAGGGGAAAGGGAGATTTAAAGCTTGGTTCGGCTCCAGAGTTAAACCTGAGAACTTGTGCTGCAAGACCTTGCTTAGGCTGGCTTTTAAACACAGATAGCAAATGAAAAGAGGTTCAATCCAGTCTTCTTGCATTTTAGTAATCTGAAAAACACTTTCCAACTGGCTCTCAGACCTTCCCCACACTGCACTTCTCTCTCTAGGCCACACGCCTCACTGGCCCTGCTCCGCACCTCAAGTATTTTTGCCTGGCTGGAATGTGTCCTTGAACTCTGACCGTGCCTTTTTGCTTGTCTGGATGGAGGACGGGGGGGGGGGCATGTAAGTGTGTGTAGAAACTAGCCTATCGGACAAAGGCAAACTTTACAATTATTCCTTTCTGTCCACCACTACTCAGAAAGGGATGCAACTCTTGGGCTGGAAAAGCTTACTTGCCTTTGTTCCAAGTGGATTCCCCTGACTGTGTAACAAATAATTAAGAACTCACAACTAAAGGCAGGTGCGTCCTCCAACCCAAAATTGTGGTAGAATGTGTGGATGTTGGGGAAGAAGGACATGGGTTGGCATGACCTTCGAAACAGACAGCCCAATAGAGCTCTCATGAGGGTAAGAACTGGTCTCGGCCACATCTGGCCCTCCCGCTATCAAGGAGAAGATACAGTACTTATGGACCCCTGTGTGGATCCAGAATGGCAGTTTCCAGCACTCCACAGGTCTGTTCCTCCTCCCACTGAGGTCTCCCCATTGCCTACTGTCCCATTAATATTCCTTTATGAGGATCTCCTTCCCTCCCCGTTGGCCTCTGAAGACACATCATCGGCCACCAAAGGCGCCAACATTACCATGTGCCAACCATCCAACGCTGGCCTGCTCCCTCATCTGGCGGTGTGTGATTAGGACATGACAGCAATGCCCTGCCTATGTCGGGTTTAATGGGGGAAGGGGAGAAGCGTAGCTGAAACAATGCCCAAGGAGGCACTTAAAATAAATTATCCCAGATGTTAAGATTTGCCATGTCATTTGCATTTTGAAAGTGATGCCCTCCCTCCCACACCACACTTCTCCACCTCTCTCCATACCAACCAGAGCGGCTGGAAACTCGCCCAGCAGCACACAAGGTGATAAAAACCCTGTTTTATTTTACTCCTTTAAGTATCTCATTTTACACACAGACATATATAGATATAGATATAATTTCTGTCCCGAACTGCAAAAAGGATTCAAGATGTAAGTGTGCGCTTGTGTCTGTCTATGTGTAAGTGAGCTAAGGGGATCAACTTCCCTGCCCCTGACATGCCCCGGAGTGGGGAGACGCCTATAATTTTTCACTGAACAAATGTCAACTCCACCTGAATCCGACCCCAAACTATCAATTACACCTCAGTCAGACAGTGCAATTTGGACAAAGAGAAATGGTGGCGGGAGCATTGGCGCATCACTTGCTTTCAAACATTTATAGCAGGAAAACGATAGCAAAAAGGTATAAGGCATATACAGAATATTGCTGCAGGAGGCAAGGACAGTCCAAAGAGAGAGAGAGAGAGAGAGCACTTCTTATGGTTAAAAGCACCCTGCTTGCTAGTTCTGAAAATGGTTCTATCATTTCTTTGGAGTGGGGGGAGGTGCTACAGGCCCCTTACATGACACCCCTGATCAAAACTGGTGGGACAAAAGCAAGTTGTCAAAAAACCATTTGGTGTTTTGAAAGCTGCTTTCCAGTACACACCCCTGTGCATCACAACATACACAAAGTGCAAGTACAACAGACCCCACTCCATTCAGCTTCAGCGGCACAACCACTGACGACCCTGCTACAGCCAGACCCCACATATCCTTACTGGGAGGGCTTTGAATCCCTTTACAGCAGTCACTAGTTCAACAGACATAGAGGGTGTGTGTAGGGTTTTATGCCGGAGAGACAAAGCCCCATACCCTATCATCTGCAAGTGGGGTTAGTACCTGTGAGGGGTTTTGCGTGATGCTGCTGCTGTGCTGTGCTGTAATTGGACGCTGTTATATAAAACCTTATGCTCTGGTGGAAACGAAGGCAGAACAGTCAACAACTTGGGGCGGGGACTGCCCCCCCTTACCAAATTTCCTGTGCCATGTCCGGGACTGGTGCAAAGTTGCACTGCTGGGCACTTCCAGACTGTTGCTATTGGGAGAGGAGAGACTGCAGCTCTTGTGTGAGAAACACACTCCCTCCCTCCCACTAAAATAAAAATTAAAAATGTGGCACGTTTTGCCATCAGGAAAATGATGGGGGAACACACTTGGAAGTGTGGGATAACACTTGCTTTCTCCCAGTGTCATTTAACCTTCCCACAAACAAACCAGAAGGAATGCTCGACATAGAGCTTATGTTGCCTAATTTCCCTACAAATCTGTGCAATAAATCAGGATGGATGCTCAGTAAACAGGTTGTCTGGAACTGCCCATTAAACAGCTGCGGCCATGGATGAAAAGCTCCTCCCCTGTGTCACTCATGTCCGTCCCCCGCCCATCTCCACCCCATTCCAGCCATTCCTTCAGCATGTCTGGGGTGAGATATTTGGGGCATTCCACCAGAGTCCTGTGGCTTCCACCAGATCCTGTATAACCCCTCTGCCAGTGGATCTTCAGTAAAGGATTGCATCCTAAAAGGCATGAAAGTGAGGCGGTGTTAGGGATACCTGGGGATATGGCGTTTCTTTTCTTTTTGTAAATTTATAACTGGGTTGGCAGGCACAGCATTCTCAATGAAGTCGAGCAGGATTTCATTTTTCTTATGCACTCATCATGACCAGTGTTCATAATGGTATCAGGACAATTATATGCAATCCTGCTTTAAATACTTCAAAAAGTTTCCGAGTGGGCATAATGCTTTGTTTCCAATCAGCACATGCCCTGTAACTTCCTGCTAAAATCCTGCGACTTTTTACAATGCAAATGTTCCAGGTTTAGGAGTTTGTTTGTTTTGCCCCACTTTTGTTGCACTATAAAGCAAGAGCGCCCTTCCAGACAACAATAACGGGAAAACTTGGGGGGAAGCACTGCAGAACAACTGGTAATGCGGAATGGTGTGTGGATAGTCCAGTATGAATCCACCACTTTTGCACCATCATTGACATGATGCAGGATACCTGCAAAAACAGAACTGTCTGGAGGAGCCCTAGGAGGCAAAAGCAATAAAGGCAGGAAGGAAAAGCACAATGGGAAGGCAGAGTATTTAAAACCCATCAGCCTCAGCTCTAGGTTAGAGGGACACAACAGACAAGAAGGACAACCTGATTTGGGATGGGGGGAGTGCTATTTTAATATATAACTTCCAGAGTCAAAAAAATCTTAATGCTCAGCCTCTGGTTGGCCCTTGATTAGATGATCTTCCACATCCTTTCTAGCAACGCAGACAAATGATTCTGAATGCCAATGACTGAGAATGGCCGGCGGGATACACACACGCAATCCCAACCCTCTTCCTGTATAGGTGTAAGAAAAGCAGAAAGAAATTCTCAATGAGGTTCTTGTTTGTCTGGAAGCAACAATATGGAGTTCCAAGTCCCGGAGGGTATATCAGGAGGTGGTGGTGGTGGGGAGAGGAGTTAGGACATCCAAATATGCAACGCCTCGCTTTATTTCACCAATGCAATTATCCCAAGCTGTTCGCTGCAATGGCACAATGTGGATTTATTACCTTCCTCACTCTCCGGGGGAGTGAGAGAGAGAGTTTAATCACCAGGCTGAAAATCCTGGCAGCTTTCAGATTTCAAAACACAAGTCGGGCTGACTCTTTGTGGCCTGGTACCTTGTCCATGAAGCTATGGCCAATGTGGTGGGGAGGGGGAATCATGTGCTTACAAATTAAGGCATGTCATTGATGTGCTCCATTCTAGTTCCAAAATTTGCTACCTTCCCCCAAAAATAAATAAACAAAAACCCTATGCTGGAATATTTTTGTAAAGATGACAGAGCTAAAAGGGCATCGAATGAGGAGAGAGAGGAAAAATGGCTAGGGCGGCTGGACTCTTATTAATCTGCCCCAGGAGTGGTTTAAGAGTCAATCCCTCTATTCAGGGGACTCTGGGAATTGGGGGGTCTCTTAAGAAATCTCAGTACCCTTAACAAACTACAGTTTCCATTATTCTTTGGGGGAAACCTTGACTATTTAAAATGGTGTGACACTGCTGATGGAGGCCTCTATTTCTGGATCGATATATTTTGGGGCCCATGCCAATTTCACACATGTTCCTTCATAAGTCCCTTCCAACCTGTTTCTACAGTAATCTGTCCAAAAAACCCCCACCAAACTACATGAAAAATTGTATTTAAATAGCAATTTGTATTTAAATAGCATTTTATTATTTATTTAAGAACATACTTTATCTCAATATAAACATATTTCAGTGCACTTTATCATACGCTACTCAGTGCATTTTATCATACTTAAGTTGTGTCTTCCTTTAAGTTCCACTGTACCTAACAGAACTTGCACTCCATTCTCTTGAAACTGAAGTACCTTGTGTTTTCAGTGTTCCTAAATTCTTAGCTTTGGAGGGCATGGAACAACACCTTTTTGGTGTTTTTCTCTGCATGCTTTATCCAAAGTGACCCTAGGAGCCAATCCTCAGCGGCTACAATCATCACAAAGAGTGAGAAGACTTATGTGGCTTTAAAAAGAAAAAGAAAAAAAAGAAGCCCTTTCATATTGGACGGCGCTAGGACTCTTGGGAACAGGAACCCTGCTGGGATCCTATTGCAGAAATAGTCATGGATTTTTGACACCCCGCCCCATAACCCCAGCACAATTCACCTCTGATCTGGAGAGAATAGATACTTTTTTAATGTAAACCTACCAACTCCCCTTTGACAGTTCATCCATCTGATGAAACAGTGTCTAAGCTACCAAAGCTCAATGCCACAATCAATGTGTTAGTCTTTAAGGTGCCACAGGACTCTGCTGTTTATGCTCCCTTCTGCTTCGCTTCAGGCCACTGTATATCAGTTTCGCAGGATGACCTCAGATCTAGAAAGTGAATTATTCCACCACCAGCACCACTGGCACCAGCAGCAGCCCTCCCTTCTCCCATGTACTCTCTCCAGTGCCACTCGCAGAAGGCCTGGAATGACTCCCATTATTTTTGACGGCTTTCTTCTCCCATTAAGAAGGGCTTGAAAAACAACCACTTCGAGCAGCCAGGGATTCAAATTAGCACATCCCCACTTAAACAACCTCAATATGTTTTGCTTAAAGGAGGAGCACTGATGGCGGCGCTTAAAGCAAATTTGTGGACGGTCAGGAACAAAAAGTGCCAGACTGGTCAGAGGCGAACATGAGGACATTCTCACTGGATCAGACCAGGGACTTGCCTGGTACTGTACCTGGTTCCCAATGGTGGCCAGTCAGATGTTTCTCAGAAGCAAAACCCTTTCCCAAGATGACACAATGCAAACTGTGATGTTTCTTGTAATGTATACAGACGCACCGTAATAGAGCTTTGTAGAAGGTCCTCGGTTCAGTTCCCAGTCGCATCTCCAGGTAGGGGTGGGAAAAGATTTCTGCCCAAAATCCTGGAGAACCACAGCCGGTCAGCTAGATGGGCCAATGGTCTCTTAACTTATTAGTCAGCTTTCTTGGTGGCAGAGCAACTACTCTGCATTCAGAAAATCACAGGTTCAATCCTAGACATCTCCAAGAAGGCTGGGAAAGATCTTGTCGGAAAACCCTGGAGAGCTACAGCCAGTAGACAATATTAGACAAACTAATCATCTGATGCTCAAGCAGTGTCTTCCAATAGAGATATATCCAATGTTAGTCCTACTCAGAACAGCCCCCTTAAAATGAATAATGAATGCCAATGGGTCTGCTCTGAGTGTCGGATAAAACCCTAGTTTTCCATAGACAAGGAGATTCTGGCCAGGGGAGGGAGAGAGGGAGCAGTCAAACCTCCATTCCCCTTACATGCATCCTAAAGTTACGGTACCATGTTCTTAAAAAATAAAAGAAAAAAACTTTCAATTGGTCCTGAGGGGTATTTCAGTCAGCTCTGCATTTTCAGCAGGCAGCTTCCTCCATTCCTACGCTCCCCACCCTCTGAGCAAACTCATTTCTAAGAAACATAAATTTAGAAAAAGGAAGAAAGGAGGGGGAGAAGGAAAGCAGCAGCTAATTTACAAACAACAGGGAATCTCTTGTTGCCCATTCATAATTAATGGAACTCCTGCTTACAACTATTCTTGTGGCAGACACACACACACCCTGTCCAATTTGTGCACAAGGCTGGAAAAAGAGGCAGGTTTGGCTGTGGACATTGTCTTTCTCTCTGTGTGTCTCTTTTTCACATGACAGCAGGTTGAGAGGCAGGACAGGAGACTGAAAGGGAATTCTGCGTCAGCTCAGGGTGGATTCCCAGATCCCAGCGGCGGCAGGGGACTACAGCAGCTTTCGCCAACGTGGTGCCCTTTAGATGTTTTGGACTACGACTCCCATCAACCCCCGTTAGTCCTGACTGGAGTTTATGGGAGTTCTAGTCCAAAACATCTGAAGGGCACCGCATTGAGAAAAGTTGTGCTTCCCAAAAGAACAGAGGGAGCTGCCTCGTTCCCCTCCTGAAGCACTTTTTCCTTTTGCCAAAATATGAAAGGTTTCAGAGCACCCCCAGAAGGAAAAACTGTGAGCATCCAGAGCGAGGTGGAGGTTACCAAAACCAGACTGGATACATGGGTCCAACAGTAAGGCACCACAATGGCCTTGCCTAGGATTCCTGGTTGCACACCGCAGCAGGAAAACTAGATGAGAGCTTGTAGCTGTGCAAACATGCCCATGACCTTCACTTTTCTGACTCAAACTCCACCTCCTCAACCATCAAAATTTCTTCTGCTCTTCCATTCTTCCTCCCTTCCTGGACCTCATGCCCAGAACACATTCCCAGAATGCCCTCTTAGAATTCTCAGGAGGCCCTCTTAGCCTTTTCAAATCCCTCCTTGAAGACCAGCTGTTAGATCTAGCCCCCACTCCCAGTTGGGGGACCCATCTAGTCCAGCATTCTGTTCTCACAGTGGCCAAGCAGTTGTGCACGGGATGCCTACAAGCAGGACCTGAGCATAATAGCACACACACCCCCTGCAGTTTCCAGCAACCAGCATTCAGAAGCATACTGCATCCAACTGTGTAGGCAGAACATAGCCATCAGGGTTAGTAGCCTTATCCTCCATGAATCTGTCTACTCTTTTAGAGTCATCCAAGTTGGTGGTCATCACTGCCTCTTTTGGGAGCAAATCCTACAGTTTAACTATGCGCTGTTTGTAAAGTCCTTATTTTTGTCTGCCCTGAATCTTTCGGTTGTGTTGGGTGTTTCCTGAGTTCCATTGTTATGAGGCAGAAAAAAACTGCTCCCTGTTCACTTTATCGACATCATGCACATCCTCGCATAGCCTTCCCCAACCTGGTGCCCTCCAGATGCTGTTGGACTATAACTCCCATCATCCCTGGCCACTGGCCATACTGGCTAGGGCTGATGGATACTGCAGCCCAACATCCTGAGGCTGGGGGAGGCTGCCCTCCTGCAACTAAGCCAAAATGAATGTAATGCAAATAATTGCAGGTTCTTCCCCTGTTTACCTCTGTCTCTACTTCCTCCTCCTTCCTCTGTAGTCTCCCCTGTGCTTGTTGCCAAGATGGTGAGCCGCTTGGGGCAGGGATCTGCCCTCGTATTCTTTGTACAGCACCACATAGATAATAATAATAATAATACCAAGATTTCACCTGCCTTTAGCATGATGACACTTCATTCACAGGTTGCCATCACCTTCCAGTCTCCAGACACATCAAAGAATAACTCTGAGGCAAAGCTGGATTCTGCACCTGTGGTTCTGCAAGCATCTGCCATCAGGGATGCCATAGACTGGGGATCAGGGAGTGGGTTGGGGAGAAATTTGATTCAGTTCACATTCAAAGGAGAACCTCCCTAATTCATAGTCAGAAATAATACAATAACCCAAACAGCCATCCTTCAAAATTCCCACTTGTCCAAATTTTGCAATGCTGTTCTCCAACCAAGTATTGTGTAAAGAAATGTATGTCTAAAAATGCATGTATCAGTGAAAATAACATACCAAAATATTTGTTGTGCAAAGAAGTGTATATCAGGCAAAACTGCATACAAAAATATGTGCGTTAAGAGAAATTCACACTGGAATGCTTCTGAATGTCCATGAAGATTAAAAAATAAATAAATCACAAACTGATGTGGAAATGTATAGAACAAAACTTACGAGTGGAAAAATGAGAAATGGAGAGAAACTGAAATGGCCAGATTTGCCATTCTCTACCACAGCCCCCCAAGCAGGTCTGGGGTCCAGTCTGAGAGTGTGCACTTATGGAACACCTAGAAGGAAAGGAATCATAGGCCGGTGCTGCTGTATAGGCCTGAGGGTGAGACCCCAAATGAGGATCAAGGTTCCACAGCTCTGCCATTGTAGGTTCAGCTGCCCAACTCCCCAGTGAATTCCTGAAAGAGAACTAATTGTCCAGTCAACGCCAGGCAACACAACTCCCAGCTCTCTGCTCTTTCAAATGGCTACCAGCTCAGCAAAGGCGCAGAGGGTTTAGGCCCTCTGTGCCCAGTTTGCTATTTATGCTCAGTGGACCTCAGAGCTGCTGAGCTCATCTACTGCCACCATCATGCCTGCCAATCTGCAATATGTGAATCATACTGGCCCACCTTGCAGGGTTGATGTAGAAAATATTAAAATAATGGGTGTAAAGTGCTTTAGAGAACCCACATGGTGCTCTGCTTAGAGAGGTTGAGCTCGAAGAGGGGTGCTGAGCTCAAATCTCTGCTCAGCCCCAATCTCTGACAATTAGCTATTGTGAAGATAAAGCCGGGACAATGTACACTGCTTTGAGCAATTTGGAAAAAAGAGTGAAATAAAATGCAAGGAAATTTACAATTGTAAGCAAACCACACACACAAACACAAGCACCATGAGAAAGTGATGTCACCTCCCCACTCCAAATCTCTAACCTGCCTGTTCAAAGTGGGAATTAAACTATTCTAGGAGGATGTTCATATCAGAATATCCAAGGCCCAGTGAACATAACAAATGCTGCCATTTCCAGACCACCCGAGCCTCCACCACACTGTTATGTTGAACCCCACAGAATGCCCCACATTAATATATATATATATATATATATATATATATATATATATATGCGCCAGCCCCAAACCTTGCCTCAGAATGGATTAGGAGGGTTTTGCAAGGCTATTTAGCAGCGTACAAGATTCAAAAGAGTAATCAAAGCACCTCTCCATTTCTTTGCTATTAAATGAGAAGAAAGCTCCAATCAGAACATCAAAGGCGAGGAATTAAACTGTCTCTGAGCTTGGTAGAGGAGGAGCAAAATCACACATAACATATGCATGCACACTTTTATTTTTAAACATATATTTCCATATCTAATCTCACAGGAAGGAAGGAATTATGCTCCCTGTTTGTTCTTTGGGCCCCATGCGATGGCCGCTTCTCTGTTCATTAAGCAGATCGCCTAGCAGCTCTGAAATGAACCATTAGCAGATTAATTAATAAGGAAGCACTTTGAAAGTGCTGCTACTTAGACCTATCAAGGATTGGCACCAGGATTCGGTGGGGGGAGATGGAGAAGAGACCATCAGGATGCCTTCTTAACTAGCAAGCAGGAGCAGGGATCAGTCATGACAAACTGAGGGCACAGCCAGGTGATTTGTATGAGTGAGCCAAGCTAGATGCCGTTTTTAAAAAACAAATGTCACCTTCAGTTCCCTCATCCCTGGATTTAGGGGTTACTAGGCCCTGTAAAAGCAGGCAGGTTCTGGGATCCTGGGGAAAGGTGACTGACAGTCCAAATGGGCCAGAAGCAAGTGCCTAGTCCAAAACATTTAGCAGTCAAGTCCCAAGCAGCAATCAGGAAAGAGCAGCAGGGGCTTGGACGGTGTCCCCACACCAGAGGAAAGTTGTTCAGACTGAGAAGCAAGCTGTGAGGCTGGAGCTTTATAGGGGATGCTGCTCAAGGATTGGACATTGGAAGTCAGCTGACAGAATGCTCAGGCAGCCTGGTACTGCAGCCTAGATGGCCCCCTGCAAGCACCAAGTCAGTCTGCCAGCCTTGTCATAGAAACAGCATTGGCATTGGCAGGTGGTAACACGCCTCCCTGGTGAGAGCCCTAGTTTAAGATTTGCTCTGCCCACTATGAGACATACTGGCTTGAAAATTTTGTCAAGCAACTCAGGGCCCCAGCATCCACCCTCCTTGCCACCTGCCAGAGCCAGCCTTGGGGCTTGCCCTGCACTAGCAGGTTTACTGCTGGAGTTCATGCACAGCTGACCAATATATATGCATTACTATGCCAAGCGCGTTGGGCCCCAGCTGCACACTGCAGCAGCAAAACAAGACAGGAGTTCATGGATGTGCCACTGTGGGAGAAAGACAAAGGATGCAGCCTGAGGGTGTTTTCGAGGGATGATGCAAGCAGAGTCTAGTGTTTCCATTATGTGCAACTTCAGAATGATGTCACAACATGACATCATACTTTCCAGCCCCCATAGTCTCCAGGGTCCTCAGACACAGACTGGGGGGGCGGGCAGCCTTTAAACAGTTGTGTTCAAGGCTAGCCTAGTGAGCAAAGAGGGAGATATGAAAAGAAGACTCCCATTGTTTGGGAGCTTCATCCAGCTTGGCTTTGATCTTCTGCCAGAGCTTTGCAAGGAAAACAATAATGAGTAGGTTTATAGTGCAATCCTGTGGATGCCAACTCAGAAGTTCCCTTAACTTACTCCCTGGGGAGTGTGTAGAGCAGGGGTGAGGAACCTCAGACCTGGCGGACAAATGTGGCCCTCTAGGCCTTCCTAGCTGGCCCTCCAAAATTTCCCTGGGCCATCCATCTAATGGGAAATTTATGTTTTCTTCCCTCCAAAGTTTTTATTTCCTTCCCAGTTCCCCTTATGCTGCTGGAAGGTAACACAGACTGAGGTCTTTACATAGGAATGTAGAAAGCTGTCATACTAAATCAGGTAACTGGGTCATCAATAGCTCAGTATTATCTGCACTGACTGGCAGCATCTCTCTGGGGTTTCAGACAGCAGGCATTCCCAGCCCTACCAGGAGATGCTGCAGGTTGAACCTGGGACCTTCTACATGCAGAGCAGATGCTCCACCACTGAGCCACAGCTCTTCCCAAAACAAGCTGTGAAATTTCAGACAGCCTGCCATTTAAATTTTATTCTTCTGCTCTCCTTCCAGGCTCCAAGTTCAGTTCTACCTCTCCACCCACCAACCCCACTAGCAAGGGCCCAATATATCTGAAATTTAAAAGGCTGCCAACCCTGCCCCTTCTGTGCTCCTCAGCAGCACCAGCTATGCTGGTCCCAGTCACCCATGTCAGCGCAGGAAGCTGCTTCATGCCAAGTCAGACCAACAAGTCAGGCCCATCTAGCTCAGGGTTCTCTGCACTGATTGGCAGCCGTTCTCCAGGGTTTCAGGCAGGGGGCTCTGGAGATGTCAGGGACTGAACCTGGGACCTTCTTTGTGCAAAGCAGATGCTCTGCCACTGAGCTACAACCATTCCCTCCCCAAAAGGAGACGGGAAGGAAGAGAGGGAAGCAAAAAAAGGAGGGAGGCAGAAAGCAAAAGGGCCTGCAGCTGGGCTAACCAGCTTCCCAATCCTCACAATGAAAGGCAATCTAATGTCTGCAGGGTTTTTAGAAACCGCTTCTCAGTAGCATGGGGTTCTTACAAATTGGCTTGAAGTCTCCGAGTGCTTGTGCAACGGGAGGTGCAGAGGGCCGGCCTCCCTCGCCCAGCATCTTTGTCCGCAGCAGCAAGGAGCATTTGTGTTATGGAAATGTAAGAGCCGGAAGTCGGGGCTTCCAATTAATTCCCGGGAAAAGGGGATTTTTGCAGGCCACCACTGTGCAGTCCTGATCGGAACCCCAGCCTCCTTTGTCTTCCAGCCCCACTCTCTCTTTCCTCTCCCCGCCCCTCTCGCAAATTAATCTGAAGGTGGATTTGTGCCATGGCGTGAAAGAAAGGTATCTTGGTGACGGCGTCATCTTAGGCTTACGTGAAGCGCCATCCATCAGAGCAGAAATAAGAGAAATTGTGGGAGCTGAGTCTCTCTCTCTCTCTCTATTTTGTATGGCAGCTCAAGAGGAAGGGGCAGACTACCTGTGATGAGAGCAACAGGCCGTCACTGAAAATGTCAGCCCTGTACCCATTCCCCTTGCCCCACTCCATAACATCTCATTTGGCCTAGACCGCCATGTCCTGCTGCTACGTTTTCCCACTTCTGCCAGTGGCAGACAATGGTGTGGAGTGGGAACTCTACACGGAGATGTTGTTTTCAGCAGCAGCTCCACCTTCCACATAATGTGTCAAATCACATGCTCCATGTGCACTTTACATTTAAATCACTATCATACCACTTTAAAATGCCATGGCTTCCCTTGAAGAATATTGGGAACTGCGATTTGATAATGATGCTACAATTCCCAGTGTTCCCTGGAAAGAGGGATTGATGGTCTGGGAATTGACACTGCCCATTTAATATTGCATCTGAGTATTATATGAGTATATGAAATGTACATTCACATAAAGGACATTCTAGTCAGTCTTGTGCTTGCATTCCATATTTGGAGAAGTTGCACCCTGCCTTTCCATTAAAACAACATTCAAGGTTTCTTTATATTCATTTAATTGCAGAAACCAATTTAGGCTTCACATGTGAAAATGCCCTATAGGGGGAATATGTACTCTGGAATCTAAATAGCACCAACCACGTGAAAGAAAGGCATGGGGCCTCAAATCCTCTACAGCAGCTGTTTTCAAATTTGGCTTTAGTGTTCCTCAGAACAGTGGCGGACTTTGGGCTCTTAGATTTCAGCAGCACCCTGTGCAATGCTAAAATTTGCTGTCCCCCCACCACCACCTCTTGCAGGGATTCCACATCATAGCTGTGGTGCCTCCTGCGGTGCTGGCACCCAGTGCAGCTGACCCAGCCATGCTAACCTAAAATCACCTCTGCTCAGGTTTATCAGATTCAGATTCAGGTGCATACAAAAAAAAATTAGGCTTGTGCAATTTAAAGTGGATTAAAGCACTCTGGAGCCACAAATCCACCTAAAAACAACATGACTGCATTTTGGAAAGTGATTGGGAAATGCATTAAAAAGTGTGGGATGGACAACCGATAAAATATCACGCAAGCAACTCAAGATTAATGTTCCCTGTTGTGTAACCTACCCACAAACAAATCAGAACGACTGCTCAATAGACACCCGACATGGTCTCACCTCCATGTAAGCTTCATGCAAGAAAATCAGGATGCATTCTCAGGAAACAGATTGTCTTGGGGATTCATCACTGAGAAGTAAGGGAAGTGAGAAACATAAAGGCACCAAGATTCCCTGGGAGACGGTTTGCTTGCACTTCCCAGTTTTCCCTTGGAGTGCACAGGTGAAAAGAGGCATTGGTGGAATTCTGCCGCATTCAGTTCACACAAGGCAATGAGTGATGCCAACAGGCCTGGATGGTGCCTGATGTGATCTCTGTGCCCTAGAACAGATCCCAGAATACTTCGCACTGTGCAAAGGTTCTGTGGCAAACAAAGGTCAGGTCTATCCTACTCACTTCTATGCTCTGGGCATGAGCACCACTGATCACTGATGTGAATTATTGGGACCAGCTACTATATATTCAAGAAAGTTGTTTCTTTGCTATGCATTTGGACACCTCTTAAGATACTGTAACCAAATTTTGCAGGATAGTTCCTGAGATCAAATGAAAGGTTTCCATCTATGTATTTTAAATTATAATTATATTAAGTATTGTGCTATTTTAGATTTTATGTACATTTCTGTTTCATGGTTTTTGCCTTTATTCTAAACAATCCACTCAGGTTATTGGGTGGTATAGAACCATTTTTTATTTATATTTTTAAAATCTATATAAAGTAAGAGTTTGGGGGAGGGAAGGAAAAATTAAAACGGTGATTGTTGGTATATGCACAACAATTTTACAACCTTTTTTTTTTAAAAAAAAAGTTAGTTAAAACAAAGGGTGGGACCACACATTTAGCAGAAGGAGATGGGTAGATACTGTACCACCTCTAGACATATAACTTTTGAATGCTGTACTGTGTTGAGACACACACAACTCTCTGTAAATAAAAACTGAGCACATTGCATGGAAAGGCGCTTGCCCAGAACTTCTGCCCGCTGTGTTGCCTTTCCACTTACAGAGTTTTTAAACACAGAGAACTGTTCAATACTGTGACACTCCCCAACCCCCTGCCATCCAAAGTGGTTCAGCCAGTGCTACCCGAACTCAGCAGGCTACCACCTCCTCATTCTGCCGCATGGGTAACCTGGACCTAAAAATAATATTAAAAATAAGAATGATGTGGACACTGGACCCTAAAGGCAGAGTGTTGAAAAACAACTACCCTGCTAAAGCCTAGAGTTGGTGTATGTGCGTGTGGAGTAAAGCAGCCCTTGCTGTGCCCTTTGCAGCTCAGCGGTCTGAGCATTTGCCAGTCAGTGCCTGCCTTTGATCCGTCAGGCTCGGCAGGGCTGCATGCAGGCACCACAGCATGCAAGGTTCTGTTGGGCAATGGGAAGCAGCTCCCCTGCTTTTGCAGCCTTCTCCTGCTTTTGCAGACTTTAACGGCCTTCTCAAATGACTTTTTTGCAGGTTTTAGAAGCTGCTGTCTGGTCCTGCGGCCTTTGCCTCGCCAACCTGATTCCATCAGCATTCTGCCGTCGCTGGGAGGATACACTCCACTGCCAGATCATAGAAGGAATACTTTGATGATTTGGAGTCCCACCTGTCCTTTTTTTGTGGGGGTGAAAATAACCTTTATTCTCAGCATAACAAATCAGCCCCCTCCACCTGCCTGTGACAAGTCAGCTCGGCGGGTCAACCAGGCTGGTGGCCACTGCTTGCTCCCCCGTCTTAGCCCAGCTCTAAAGAAGCATCCCTCTGAGATCTGCTTGAGAATTGCTGGATGTAAGTTTTGGAGAAAGCAGGGGAAAGGAGGGAGGAAAGCTTAAGCGGTGGGTCTGAGAAAGGCTAAACCAGAACTCTTTTTCGAACCACGCTGTCCCAAATGTTCAAATTCAAGGGAAGACACCGATTCACCATTATGATGGGATCTCAAATTGGCACCAGCTCCGACCACCGGATCTGAAGGCGAATAAGCAAAGGAAGAGAAAAGCAGGTGGAAGAACTGTTGGGGAGGAGGAAAGTGTTCCCTTTTCCGCAAGGGGCATTTTCCCGAGCCACTTTGGCGTGGCCTATGGTGGGCAAGAAGGCGTCCTTGGAATTTATCTGTACACTGAGAGGAGCAAAGGAGAGGAGACTGGCAGGCAACCCACAGCATGTAAAACAGCTCCTTTCAACTAGCAAGTGGTCTTGAAGCCTTCAGGAAGGTCGATGGGAAAAAGAGGAGGAGGAAATCAACGTTAAAAGGCAAGATCCAAGAACCCTAACCTCTGCCGGCCACTTCTCTGAATCTAAGAGACAGGTAAAGATTATTCATTGAAGCACTGAACTCACAGCTGTGCCCTAAACCACTGTGCTGGTCTTCCATCAGCTGTTGCAAAGCTCTGTGAATCTAATCCATCCTTTAAATAAAGGCAGACAGCACTGAATGGGAAATGGAAGGATAGCCATTCTGGAAAGAGCTGAGAAAAAAACAAGAGCTAAAGTAGGCTGAATAGGAAGCAAAGGCAGCAGGCTGAGTTCCGACTGCAGCTCTTGGAGAGAAAGAGCAGTTATGGCAGGGATTAGGAGCCTGTGGTCCTCCAGATGTTACTGGACTCCAACTCCCATCAGCCTTAGCCAGCAATCAAGGATGATGGGAACTGTAGTCCACTTACAGCTTCCCCAACCCGTTGTAGGGATGGGAAAGAAATTTGATTTTGTTAGCGTTTAGAGGCAAATCTATCTAATGTGCACATCCAAGTCAATACACAAATTGAGATGCTGCCATTCTCTGCAATTCACACTTCGAAATTTGCAATGCAGTTCTCCAGTCAAGGAATGTGTTAAAAATGCACAGACCAGGGTAGAATGTGCATAGTAATGCTTATATTAGTGAAAACACCATATACAAATGCATTCTAGTGGGGGGAATTGCTCTGCAAAGATACATGTACATTAGGTAAAACCGCATGAATTATTTTTTTCAAAGTTATGATACATTTGCAATAAAATGCCAATAAATTATAAAGGACTTTTAAAAAAATTGCATACTGATGTGGAAAACTGAAGACTGGAGAAATGAGAAATTGAGAAAAACTGAAACTGATAGATTTGCTCGTCTCTATCCCTAAATTACAGCAAATGATAATTACAGAAGCCCTTCTAGGTTCTGTAGCACAGCACCACTGTGTACTACCTATGGACTCCAGAAGGAAGGCTTTTATGAGACTGGCCCATTTCATGCTGCAAGTACACTATAGAACTGCATGTATGAAGGTTACCGCCAAGCTGGTTGCAGTTGGGAACTAAGCATATAAAATAGCTTAGTTAGTAGAGCATGAGACTCTTAATCTCAGGGTCATGGGTTCAAGCCCCACGTTGGGCAAAAGACTTCTGCATTGCAGGGGTTGGACTTGACAACCCTCAAGGTCCCTTCCAACTCTACAATTCTGTGATTCTATGATTCCATGAAATAATGTGCCGGAGCAAAGGCAAGACGTGTAGCCTTGCCACCACGGTTTACTGTGACAGTGGAGATGGCTCACGCTTTACTGCTTTCCTCAGAAAAGTTCCAGACCTTGATCCTTGATTTCGTGTTGCATTCTGAACCAGAGGCCGTGGTTCAAGAAGCTAAGAACAAACCTTGGCCTTACTTTATGGAGTTTTGGAGCAAAACAAACCACAGTCCCTGGTCCAGACATACCACTAAAACATCGATTGTGGATTCTTGTTCCTTTACACAGTAAGGGGAAAGCAAAGCAGAAGGCCACCTGTGTCTTCACAGTAAACTATGGGTGTACTGTGATGTGCAACTGCAGCCACTGTGTGAAAGGCAGCCACCCATCACACTTCTTTGGCTCACCTGCCCATCCCTTAAGAACATAATAATGGAATAAAACTTCTGCTGGATCAGGCCAGTTCAGTATCCTGTTTCTCAAAACAGCCAACTAGATTTATTAATTTCTTTACTTATAGCATTTATGTGGCTTACATTTCTAAGATAGGTCACTCCCTGGCCTCAGGGTCACAATAAAAAAAGACATGACACATGAGGAAAAGGAAATAGGGGAGGGAGAAGGAAAAAGCAAACCCAAGCACAAATTCTTCAAGTTACAGTCCCCCTCGCAGACCTAAAATTCCCAGAGTTCCCTGGAAAGAGGGATTTATTGTCAAACCACTCAGGGTTGCTGGAAATTGTAATTCTCTGAGGTGTAAATGACAGTGCCCAGAATACTCTGTTGCCCTAGGGCGACAAATCCACTTTCAAAAACAAATAACTTTTTGCAGAAATGGCACTGCAAAGTGTGGGGTGAACAAATAACTAACGGGAACACCCCACAAACAGATCAGAATGAATGTTCCTTGTCACATAACCACCCTGCAAACAAAGCAAAAGGAATGTTCAGTAAAGACCAGACATCAGCTAACCTCTGCAAAAAAAAAACTTTCTGCAAGCAAATCAAAATGAATGCTCAATAAACAGGTTGTCTGGTGGAGCCCCAAGCCACTACCTAATATTACATGAAGCTCTACTCTACTTGCCGTATTAATTTACTCCCAACCCAAAACTGATTTTGTAGTAGCAGGATGTTCTTTTTTTAAAAAGATATACTTCTTGGAGAACAAAACTGTCCTACAATCTGTTATCAACAGATCAAAACAGACTTCAGAGCAACAGCTTCTCTCTCTCTCTCTCTCTCTCTCTCTCTCTGTGTGTGTGTGTGTGTGTGTGAGAGAGAGAGAGAGAGAGAGAGAGAGAGAGAGAGAGAGAGAGAGATTGGGCTGGCTGTGTACTACATGGTGCCTTAGTGATCATGTGTGTGCATTTACATGGATGTGTCTTAGAGACACAAGATACAAGCAACTCCAGGGATGCAGCTGAATCCTTAAAACAACACTTAGCAAATCACTAACAAAATTTCAATAAGGCAGCCACTAAAAGAGAAAAATGGGGGCAAAATAAGAACAATTGCATACCTGCTTTGACACACAACCACTTCAAGTCACCTATACCGTCAAGTATAGCTGCTTATACTGAGCCAGTCCATTGGCCCATCTAGCTTAGTATTGTCCACACCTACTGGCAGCTGCTCTCCAGGGTATCCAACAAGCAGTCTCTCCCAGCCAGACCTGGAGATGCCAGAGACTGAACCTCAGATCTTCTGCATTCAAAGCAGATGCTCTGAGCTACAGCCCTTCCCATGGAGCCTACAACCAAGAGACCAGCCAAGGCAGCTCTTTGCAACCTCATCGGCGGATTTTCCGCCAGCGACAGGCTCTGCCCTCCTGCTGGATTTATCTGCTTTCATAATCAATAACAATTACCCCATCCAGAGGGAATCTTTCATGGCCGTGGGGCTTACAACAAAGCCATTAATGCCTTGACAAGTCAGGCATTTAGGGCTTCATCCGGATGGGTCCTGGCATCAGCCCCCTCCCACCCCCGCTCTCAGAGGCCACAGTGGGAACAGAGGGCCTGTCAATGCCACACCGTGAGTAATGCTCAAGGGCTCAAAGCACCAATAAATCAAAGGCTTATTAATCTCTCAGCCTCATTTTCGGGCGTTGTAATGAATCGGCTGCTAGTGCGTCTGATCCGCCCCCTGCCCCCTCCCACCATTGATTACCAGTTTATTAACTAACTTCCCTTGTCTTTCTTTCTTTCTTTCTCCCTCTCTCTCTCTCTCTCTCTCTCTCTCTCTCACACACACACACACACACACACACACACACATACCTGCCAGCAGCAGAAAACCCCAAAAAGGGTCCTGAAGAGAGCTGGCATAGCCCAGAGGCCAAGAATGCCACTGGCATGCCACAAAATGTCCCCAATTCAAGCCTCCCATCAGCTCATGAACTCCTCAGGGGTGGCAAGCGGCCATTCTCTCAACCCAGCAGTATGAAATGGTGGGTTGGTGGATGCATAACTGAGAGAATCTGCACAAAACAATTTGAACACCCCTAAGTTTACCAGCTGGTTCTGGGCATGTAGTGCAGTTAGGCAATAGACTTTGGACGCTACAGGTCTTACAAGGAAGGGAGACCCTCTACAGATGGCAGTCCAACTGTGGTCAGTTAGCATTGCTGTGTGAGGGCTTTACTACTGCTTATAAGGATTATATGGATTCAGGTTGAATCTTGACAAGACAGAAGTACTGTTTTGGAGGGGATGTTAAAATGGACTAGAAAAATTATTTCCACTTTAGCAGCGGTTTCAGTGGAAACCATTTCTCCCTCCCACACTGCTCCTTGAAACTAGAAAAACCAAAGATTCAAACAGCAGAGTGGGGCTGTTTGAAATCTCTTTTGTAAACAGCCCCTTGCTGCTCTTTGGAACTCCAGGTTTCAGAGGTTGAAACAGCAGCCTTGGGCTGTTTCCAAAAAGGCTTTCAAACAGCCCTGAGCTGCGCTCTGAAGTCCCAACAATCAAGGCTTCAAAGCACTGTGTTACCTGATGTCATAGTGACATCAGGATATTGGCAGCTGGGCGGCCCCTCCCCACCTGTTAAATTTAGTCCGGCGGGAATAAGGAGAGAAGGATTTTGCTGGTCAGTCAGAAAAAGGCCCTACGTCTGGCAAAGCAAGATTGTATAAATGTTCATTCCAGGATAATAGGCTGCAGCCACTTTGTTCCTCCCTTGTTCTTTTTGCTGCAGCACCAGGTGCCACAACAAACCAAGGTTTGGCTTAGCACCTCATCTGAACCAAGACTTGTGGTTGGGCTCTCTGCTCACTAACCACAAGCTGTAGCCAGCAACAAACCTTAGCATGGCGCGGCGGCGAAAAGGACCAGGGAGGGGCAGAGCAGGCATGAGCTTCTCTCTGGAAGCCCACACATTCACAGTGTCTCTGTAAGCCAACATTTGGGTGTGCTGCGAAAATCAAACCCATCACAGTCAAGAATAACCCCTATTTTCCAGTAAACTGTCCCTTGTATATCACTGCTCTCCTGTATTTGCCTTTTGTGGGGGAACTGCTCTCTGCGTGAGCTGCTAACATGGTTGTTGGTCAGAGTCCAACACCATCCTTGGGGCTTCAGTCTGTCAGCTTTGCCTTTCCCTACACAGGAAGTTGCCTTATACTGAATCAGACCATAGCTCCATCTAGCTCAGTAATGTCTGCACTGACTGGCAGTGGCTCTCCAAAGTTTTAGACCAAGAGTCTTTCCCCATTCCTACCTGGAGATGCCGGGGATTAAACCAAGACTTTCTGCATGCAAAGCAGATGCTCTACCACTGAACTGCGGCCCGCCCCCAAAAGAGATGATAATCTGTTTTCTTTCTGAAACGGAGTGGAGGATTCAGCCAGTTAAACGATAGAAGTTGCCGTGTCTAGTCTGGAAGCCTGTTCCTGACCTTTGTTCCAAACAGCCCTCCAGCCTGCTTTCTTGCGGGGGAAAGTGCATGGTCTTTATTAATTGTTGGCCGTTGTTTCACCCCAACCTAATATCCCAAGGCAGGTCATGATGCTGCTATCAATTTCACAGGAAAAGCCCTATGAATATGCAACTTAACCTTTGGGTCTGGGGTTTCCGTTGGAAGAATCTAGGCTTTCTAGATCCAGCCTGCATCTTCTAATTTCCAAATTAGTCCACAAAAAGCAAAGGGAGCCGTAAGGAAAACGTGAACATGCTGGCTCATATAAAAGTATGGATGTGTTGGTCCATTTGTTAAGCCAATCAAAATGTTATAAAATAATATGCAAGCTTTCGAGTTTAGTTTGACATCAAGCCAGACAAATACTGTAATTCTGGAGACCTCAAAAGCTTGCACACTGTTTTGTAACATTTTGGCTGATCTAATAAAGGCATTTTTAATGTGGATTTTTCAAACTAGTTCAAGGATAGCCAAAGTGGTGCCCTCCAGATGTTGTGGACTTCCAGTTGTCAGGGATGACAGAAGATGCAGTCTACCCCATGTGGAGCGTACTGCATTGGCTTCCCCTGGTCCAGTGTTTCAGAAGCCTGAGCTACACCAACCTCACAAGTTCCACCTCCCCTCTTCCTCCTTTCCCCAGATCTCTCTCCTCTCCACTGCTCCTAAGTGCCAACCCTAAAATACTGCGTACAAGGAAGGATTGCAGCTTGTGTTGTAAAAGGGTTAGGGGAAAGTTTGCACAAAGCTTAGCAAAAACAGGTTTTTGCTTTTTTTACAGTTGTATCAGTATCAGAGTGTGAGAGAAAAATGTCACCTAAAGGTGTTAAAACTGACAAGAAACAAAAGCACCAAACTACATACTGGAAGGGATATAGTAAGAAAATACCACAGATAAGAGAAGAAAGGGCAGTTAATAGAGACTACGACTGTCTAAGCAAACAGCTGAAGGCTACTTTAGCAGTGATATGTGTGCTAGGATGTAGGATGCAGCCTAGTCAGATTCTTGATCCATTTAGCTCAGTACTGTCTGCACTGATTGGCAGTGCCTCTGACAGGGGCTCTTTTTCCAGCCCTATTGGGACCTTCTGCATGCAAAGCAGATGCTCTATCACTAAATGATGACCCTTCTGCGTGCTCAGTTGGACTTACTCCAAGGAAAGTGTGCATAGGATTGCAGTTGAATCCCACATAGAGTAGACCCATTAAAATTACTGTGTATGACAAACCTATGTCCACTAATATCAAAGGGACTGCTCTGAGTTAGGGATGGGGAGGAAATTTGATTTAGTTCACATTTAAAGGCAAATCTACTTCCTGGAATTAGCACTTCCTGGAACAATATGAGAATTGAAACACAACCTTTGAAGTTTTCACTTCTCCAAATTTTGCAAGGCAAGCAAGCAACATGTAAAAAAATGCATGTTATTAGGGAAAATTGATTCGCAAAAATGTGTACTACATACATACCTGTGTATATTATAAGAAAATAGTCCTAAAATGCTAATGAATTTTCATGAAGCCTTTTTTAAAAAAAGATTGCAAGCCAGTGTGGAAATGTGGAGAACTGAACTTATGAATGAAAAAATGAGCAACTTAGAGGAGCCAAAATTTACAGATTCACCCAACCCTAAGTAGAACTTAGTTGGCTTAAAAAAATTCTTAAATTTTATTTATCTTTTGGGTACATGTTTTGCCCAGTAATCTTTTCCTTTATAAAACAACTTTGAAGGGGATGAGTGGAAGTGGGAAAGTAGAAGGTGGATTGGATCACTTAACCCTTTTCTATCCCACCACATGATTTCCATCGTTAGTATAAACTATCTGCATTATGCACAAAACTGACTTTCCAGAGTTCGTAAACTTGTACGTGGCAAACCTGTGACAACCAAATCTACCTTGCTCGGAAGATAAAATTAGGAAAGTGGAAGAAAAATAAAAGATTGCTATCAGATGTTGGGGTGCTGGTCAGGTTCCTTGTACCTGTAATTGTTTTAGGAAAAACAATCACGTAGCTCCCTGCTACCAGTAGTGGCTGGTGTCCATGGGAACTGGTAAGGCGGAAGGAGCCTGACAGTAGGTGGTGCTAGAGAAAAATAAAAGCAGAGTCAACTCTGCTTGGCAGGGGGTTGAACTCGATGGCCCTTGTGGCCTCTTCCAACTCTATGATTCTATTCTATTCTATGAACTGATTCTAGGTTTGTCCCCATCCTCCTCCTGGCTGAATTCTACAAAGACATTCGGAGACTAAGAAGCTGATAGGCAGTGCCACCCACTGAACTGGATGTAAGTAAGAAGGCATGATGACTGAGTTTGGTGGGGGAGTCTCCCATTTGCCTTAATATACCAGCCTTCACTGCCTGCTACACAATAAGCAAGTGTCTATTTTTAACCTTACTTGTGCATCCTCCA